CATCAACCCTGGTATACGCCACAGGTCTTGAGCGGACAACTGTCGTCCTTCATGAGGATCGTGAGGGTGAGGTAGATGTATCACCTGATCTTTCAGTCGTCAGGCGCTGCCATGTTGCGCTAGCAACTATAGCAAAGTCACTTCAACACGTTAGAACTCGAACTCTGCAGCAACGGAAGCCTCCCACAGCCGAAAATCTGAAGACAGAGCCCAAGAACGTTCCTGATACCGAAGAAGTGGTCATGAGTTGGGGCTGGACAATGGATAGCCGAATCCGAAACAGCCAGCAGTATAGTCTGCGATTACCCAAGATGGTGGATGTCGTCTCAATCTTAGTACATTTGTCAATGAGCAGCCCCAAAGTAACCTCCGACATGTGTCGCTACATTTCCGATCTTTCGGAATCGACCGAATTGCTCGATAAAGAGTTTGTTCATCATGAGCCGTGGAAACCTGGCAAGATCGAGAACTTCCAAGCCAAATGTACGGTGTCAACGTCGACGTGGGTGGCGGATCGCCAACGACTGAGGAACTCGCAAAGACGGACGGACTGCACTCCACTGACCGAAAGTCCTTTGCGCAACAGGATTAGGGCAGGGACTGTCTTCGGAAGTGAGTGGACTGCCCGAAACCGAAGACATGACTTGCACGACGCAAACCTCAGCCAATACCAAGGCGTTGAGATCCTCCAACAGTACGAGAAAGAAGCCAAGAAGATGGACGAGTGGGTCTTTCATGAAGATGCTGTGGAAGTGCGATGCAAAAAGTACGTTTTCGCAGTGCTATCTTTCTGTGCCGTCTTGATTCTAGGAGCGCTCGCCGTACCATTCACAGTGGGCGACAGGATTGCCGGAGTGGACCCTTTCCAGATCGTTACCTTCTCCTGGCTCGTCGTCGGTGTGATCCTCGTTGCCGCAAAGAGTCGATACGTGAGTGAGTGGCCATGGCATGAGTTCCTCCACGGCACCGTCTTCTGCAGGTCTGTAAGTGATCTAGCCAACTTGACGGGTGTATCGGACCAAGTCATTCTTGTCAAACTTCTCGACGACGAAGGGCGGTCGATCAATCGAACTCGGGGACCTTACAACGGCATGTTTCGCAAGAACAAATCCGAGACTGGCGATGGCTTTGCCATTGATACCCCTGCTAGGCTATCCACGATGTTAGCCAGCGGCTTCATTGTTTTGAAAGTATTGAGCGACCATGGTGACCATCTCCTGGTGCTTGATGCGAGAAAAGAAACGGCAGCCATGGACTATGCACGGAGTACTGCTCACGCGCTTCAGTACTTTTGTTGCAAGAATATTGATGCTGAGCAAGAGTCGCGAGTTACGAAAGATGGCTCTGGCACAACCAACACGGCAAAACCCAGCTGTGGCAACATCTATCGTATAAAGTGGCAATCCGTGAGTTGGGCGAAGCTGGGTGGGCTGTATGTGGCGGATTCCTGGTTCGGCTAATCAACATTTTGTCTTGTCAAGTGTACGAAGTTTGGCCGCTTCTGAGCCCATTCCTTTGTCCATGTTTGCTAATGTTCACTGTTTGCTGGTATTTGAGGTATCATCTTCGCTATAGTATTAGGAAATCCGTATTTGATCATGACGAACAATTTAGCACAGTAGTGAGAGGGTTGCTTGAATACTACCTGATCATTTTTCTTCTACTGCAGATCATGTCGCACTAGCATATCAGCTCTTTATGTATAGCAAGGTGGAACAAAGACAGCATGTGCCAGCTTGCCAATTCTCGCAATCCATCATCAGATTTCCGATATAGAAAACATGACGCAGGCTGGTGAGGTTATACTAGAGTAGTAATTGCCCATATGCCTTGTCTTAACTCGCTAGCGTCGATATCTAGGACAGCATACGCTACGCGTTCCCACCCGTCACCTATCTGCCTTGCGATGATGACCCTTTTACGGCTGGTTGAGTGGGGATCCATATCGTAACATACGTTGCCAATTAGCGCGAGATACTGGTCTCCAGCATCCAGAAAGTCGGTCGTCGTGGCTGGGAATACAGCACGCTTTACGGCACCCTGCAGTCGAAAACAAGGGCTGAACACTCCGGGATCGTATTGAGGGTCTAACCGTAAGACGGCTATCGTAAGAGTTTTGACATGGAGCACCGGCTTCAGCGGGCATCGTACCCGAGCGAATCTTTCAAGACTAATCTTCTCTCCTTTGATAGTTTCAAGGTAGACTTTGCGGTTGTCGTGTCCTATTTCGGGCTGTCGTTCGGGCCAGTCCACTGCGCCACACCAGCCTGTCCAACTCCACTAAAGTTCGAGATTGAAATTAGCAAAGATGATTGATAGGAGTCACAGTTGGTAGATTATGTATAGTAGATTCACGTACACTAGGAAACCCCTTCCGACGAGCAGATGGTCTCTTGATATTCCAGAGAAGAGCATGAAAGAAGTAGTCAAAGTCTGGTCTCGGAGGCTGTGCCATGGAGGTGGCGCCGGCCCTATAGATCCAGGGTAAACCCCAGATGTTGAGAATAGGCAGCGGTAAGTTCTCTGTGTGCCTGAATAATCCAAGTATACCATTCAGTATGTCGTCGGCCTTCGTGAGGGTTCTGCGTGAGTACTCTCCCAGAAAGGGAAATATGTTCTCGGGAATCTTTTCGATCAGATCGAATGCAAACATGTTCGTATCCCTGTGCACGTGGAACGAAAGGTGATCCTCTGACCATAGGGGTCGGTTACCAATGGTATTGCTTTCAGAGCAATGCAGTACCTCTTTACAGTATCTGGATCGACAGTGGAAGTAGACTTGTTGTGATGTAAACACCAACCGTCTACTCGAGAGCAAGCCCTCTTGGAAAGTCCATCCACGTGTGCTCCACCATGAGTTCATGATATCCCATTCAGGTCGCCTCATGGCTGAGAGAAGTTCGAACGTACGCAGGCGGACCGAAGGTTGGTGTGGTGATCGGGAGCTCGGCCTCACACCCGACAATCCACCGTATGGATCCTTTCCAGTTGCGTCAATGATTGTGACATCCGCGTCACGGTATATAACATCCATCCTTCTTATCTCGCTGTCTCTCTCCTGGGGCTTGCTTTGATCAATGCAATGTTTGTCCACCCAGAGGTACTTGTAACCGAGGCTTTTAGTGACCGTTATGGCATCCTCTATGGTCTTGGGCACATCTTCGGACAATTTTGATGTCGACTGGGAACTTTCTAGGCCCTTTTGCTCAACTCCGTTGGCTTCACTACCCCACAGATAGGATAGAGCCACATAATCGAGCGGCCGCGCTTCACCGATGTAGTCCACGATATATCGTGTATTGCAATCAATCAGTTTCAAGGGTCCAGTAGCTGATGTCATCTTACAGCCTGATTGTGAATGCAGCCTTGAGCATTGGGTCAACCAGTGTTTGGGTATGTCGAAGTTGATTTGGTCTCTCAGTGGTTGAAAAGGCCGATCCTGCAAGTCCCGGACAAATATGAGAGGCAGCCCCGGTCCGTCGATTACCGTCTCCATGATACGAGGTGTCGGGTGGAGTTGTAGCACCATGCCACCAGTTTCTAGCCGGCACCCTTCCAGCATTATCGATGATCCGGCTAGTTCCCGAATCGACCTGAGACTGCATGAGTATGAATAGAACGCCTCATCGCCCTCCTTGGCTTCCGTTGGCAGAATGTCGAGGAAGAAGTCACACAATACGCAAATGCCGCGGGTGTACTGTGCTATGCGACCCAAAGGGATGCTTTCTGATGTATTAGAGAATAATCGCTCGATCGATTGATCGAAGGAGGCGCAGCGCTGACACAGTCCTGTATCCAGGACGGACGGACTCTCCATCCTTTTTTTTTTCACGGATTGAAGGGAGTCGCTGAGTTAGAGTAAGAATGTTATCGAGGTGCGAAAATGAAACCTACGGAGGATTGGGACATTACCTATCAAGGCTAAGGAAGGGGATGTCGTGGCGGCAATTATTCTGTGGCTGTGCCTGCAGCTGCAAGACAGCCCGAGCCTTCAGTGATTGGTTTCCGCCGTACATATCTTCGTAATGATACACGCTGTCAAAACGCATTCTTCTTGTACAGTATGCACACATCGTTTGAAGAAAATCATTAGTACCCATACGCTCTTGTAGTCAGACGAGCTTGGGGAAATCGCGAGAGCACGTATCGTTCATTGCTGTAATTGCACAGCAGCATCAACGTCGCTGGGGAAAAGTGAGGACAGATTCAAGCTCGCTCATTGCCAGGATATTTTCGTTGTGTGCATATCACACCGGATACTGGTTGCTGCTGTGACAAGCTAGGAACTGCCGCTTTGAAGGGACCTCTTCAGGACCTAATCAAATGTTCCTGTCATCATGAGTTTCCACGGTGATCGGTCTGGCTGGAGACTAGTGTCTCAAGGGATTCGCCATTTCTATCAGAGCATGTGCAACGCGTCTTGTAGTTGTAAAGCTGTTCGAGGCTGCGCGCACGTTCTTGTGACCGCTTCAACCAAGGTGCTGATGCGGAATCAAAGTACATGGGTATCAACATGACTAGAAAGGAAGGAAAGGTATCGGCAAGGGTGAATCAGGGTAACCCGGGCATGAGCAGAGTATGTTTCGTTCCCACGCAGTCCAAGGATTGCTGCATTTCGTTGAGTCTTTTCACTGGGTGGCGTAAGTCATCTCCAGCGGAGCTACGCATCAATGACACCATGTTTCAGTTTTAGTATCATTCGATAGACACTGGAGCCATCATTGCGAAAGAGATTGGTAGGGAGGGGGGACACAATGGTTTGTATACTTTCTAGATTCCGCCGAAGTTCGGAGGTTGGTGAGCCGTCGAAGTCAGCATGACATAAGCGATCGAAATCCGCATCTACCACTCATGTTGCTCTATCATAAATAAACCGTCCGTTACCGCTGTTCGTAATGTTCCTGCTAGTGCTTGTAAAATTCCTTCATCTCTTGCGCTCCGCTGTGTTTGTCACAATATGTATTGATAATTTGGTAGAATTTCCATAATCAAACATCTCCGCACTGTTGGTCCAGCGGTAGGATATTTGCCTTCCATCTAGAACTCTTCTAGGGCTAGCAAATGGCTCGGGTTCGACTCCCGGACAGTGCAGCATCCATTCTTTTTGACGTTTCTTTGTCGTTCTAGACTTCACAATGATTTATGGGAATTGTTTGACCCATCGTCTCTTTTTTTTGCTCTACTGGGGGATCTTGGGCACACTCGGGACTTCATACAGCAGGACAATTGTCCTTGTGGAATGCGATGTATTCTTCCGTGATGCCTCCAGCTGTCATCATACAATTGGCACCATCGATGCCCCGCACGTTTCGAACGGCATCCAACAAGTGCCTCACGGCATAGTCACTGTTTCGCAGTGGAACACCGCTAGACCTTGATCCCACGCAAATCTACGGGTTGGCGTGATATATTCCTCTCAGCTGTGATACCGAACCTTGGTTTCCAGGCAGCAGCTCGCATACGGCTCCCTTGATTGGCCTCGTGTCAACCCTATATCGCAACCGGAGTCCGTCGGGTTCTGGCTCTCGGCTAGATGCGCTGTCGTTGCAGTCGCTAGCCCCGCCACCTGCACCTTAAACCGTCGTTCGGCATGGCTCAAGTCGGTGAACGCTCTCGTGCGCGCACCATGTTCGCCTACAATTTGCCTGGTAGCTCGGACATTGCGACTCGTGATTGGATGGCAGGTGATGGCGCTCACCGACAACCCATCTGGGAGGACATGCGCCAAGTAGTGGGACTGCTATGTTGCTTCGTCCTCCCGCAGGAATGGGGACGACACATAAGATGGAGGAGGAGGCACATGGGATTGAGCCTCAAATCTGTCCTGAATTCTAGACAATCCTCCGGGACCTGATCAATTGTATATCAACTCGCCCACCGTCTGCCTGAGCTTCCACGCCTCAGAGCCTGGAGTTTCCTGAGATTACACCATCTACCCCTCCACCTGTCACTGTCCTACGTTGAACAATTGACGAAGATGGTGTCCTATACTCACTCACATTTCGAGCCAACGGCGCCCTCCCGTTCCTCCACAGGCGACTCTCATCAGTCAATGTCGTCTGGAGCAGCGACGCCGGGATCAGACTCACTCTCACCTACCTCGACCTTCTCTCGCCGTGGGCAGTCCGCCAAGTCACCAATCGAGGAGTCTTTCTTGGGCGCCATTGCTTCGCGCATGCGGGGCCGTTCAAGGAGTCGGTCGCGCAATGGCAAATCTCGCGATCGATCCAGGTCTCCAATGCTGCTTCCACCGGAGCAGTTCCCCTCAACACCGACTCCACGGCGGACACACGCCACGCAGACGCCCCAACAGCCTCGACATGCTTCACATGCCAGCCAAAGTTCGGTCTCTTCAACAGCCACCAAAGCCACTCGACCGAGTCTCCAAGGCCCGACGCGACGGAGCACCAGCGGTAGCGACATGTGGCGTGGACGCCATTCTAACACGTGGCTCTTCAACGACTTCTCCGTCACTGATACCGCTAAGGACATCTTTCACTTTGGACGGAAGTCGTGATCGATGTCAATGCGTGGATTGTGAGGTAGTCTGCGACACGCTTCGCCTCACCAGACCAGTGTGCTGCTGGAAGGCATTACGTTTCTCGATGGAGCGTCCGGTGGTCAAACAAAACAGTTACAATAATTCAAGATGTTCCTGATGCGGAGGGAGGACGTCTTTCGCTACTTCGAGTTTGCGTGTGCTTCGCGGGTAGAGGAAGACTTTGCGCTGGCATTACCTCTTACGATGTTCAGTTTTGCTTCTCTGTATGGCCTATATTTGCTGTAATATGTACACTAGCTTGATGCCTGAATCTGTTAGCCCGAATGCAACGACTTTCGATACCATTTTGGAGCAAGTTGCGTGCGATATGCGACCACGTTGAAGTGATTGTTGTGACTTGAATGTATGAATGTAGCCCCCTTCAAAGGTCAGAAGAGAGGATTTCCGAATCCTCACCCACAACACACAGAGCTCAGTCCATCCTGGGTTCGCGCGAAGGAGTGATCCATGATCGAACTGAGCATAGCTGTGGAGAGGAGGAGCGAAGGTGCTGGTGAGGCCTGAGCCTGAGCCCTGAGGAGAAGTCAATCAGACCTGCACTGCCCCCTTACTAATTGGCCATCTTCGTACCCACCTTCCAATTGGACATGAGGGTGTCAATACGAGACTAAACGAGAGTCGAATTCTGTGAACTTTTGGCCTCGTTCCTGCATTTCCGAGCCTCAACGTTGATGTCTCCACTGCCGGACTGTGCCCGACCCCTTGGTCCAAGCTTTCAAGATACCTCACCGCTTCGAAGAGTACCCTCATGTCCTTGACCACATTCTTGCATTCTTCCTACGCTCCCACAATCATGCAGGCTCATCCCCATTGGCATCGCGCTATGTGTTCCGTTATTCAGACCAGGGGATTGAACGCGATGGATCCTTTTTGGGATCGTCCAGTCAGATACAGCACCCCACCCGAAGAGGGGTAGCTCTCCAACGCCACACTTGAGCTCCTAAACTTTTGACGAGTATATTCGTGCGAACATTTGTAAATTCGCGAATAGACAGTATACTCCGAACTCCTGGAATCCATTCGCTCCCTCAGCTCAGAGTAAGGCTGCTGGCGACATATCGCCAGCTACAATTCCGAATACCGAACAACATCCACTCCGACGAGACGTCAACTTTCCAGCCTTCTTGCATCTAAATACAAATTACCCCCCCTCAAGTACAAGTGACCCTCTAGATTACAACCACTAGGTCACAAACCGCAAGACACAAGCCCTAGATTACCGTCCACCAAACCCACCAACAATACTACAATACAACATGAAGCACGCACGCTCCACCCTCCCAACGCCTACGTCCACAAACTCATTCTGGCACACAGAGCCAAACGAGTTCCTCCTCGGGCATCGCACGACCGCCGACCTACCATCTCAAGCCGACATCGTCATCGTCGGAAGCGGCATCACTGGGACATCAGTCGCGCGCTTCCTCTCCGAAGATGATCGAGCGAAGGGGAAGAGCATCGTGCTGCTCGAAGCTCGAGAAGCCTGCTGGGGAGCTACGGGACGTGTACTTCACCCCCTCACCACCACCACCTCCTGCAGCACCCCCCATCTAACACCGTAACCCCTCTAGAACGGCGGCCACTGCCAACCGCTCCTCTTCACGCGCGGTCCCGAAGTCGCCGCCTTCGAACTCAAAAACGTCTCCGCCGTATCCTCATACATAAAATCCGCCTCGGTGCCCTGCGAATGGCGCTCCGTATCCGGCTGCATGACGCTCTGGCGTCCCGAAATCCTGTCCGCCGTCCAGCGCGCACTCTCCAAACTCTCCCACCTCGCGCCCGACATCGCCACCCGCGTCCGTCTCATCACAGACAAAGACGAGCTGCGCGCGCACCGCGTCGACCCGGCCTGCCTCGGCGCCACGCTGACGGCCGGCGCCGGCAGTCTCTGGCCGTACAAGCTGGTCACGCACATCCTCGAGTCGCTGGTCAAAGGGGGCAAGCTGAATCTGCAGACTAGCACGCCGGTGACGGAGATCTCGTCGTCGACGACGTCGGCGACGGATAAGGGGGTCACGCATACGCTGACGACGCCGCGCGGGGCGATCTCTACGAGCACGGTTATTTTGGCGACGAATGGGTATACGTCGGCGCTGCTGCCGAGTTTCGCGGATTTGATTGTGCCGGTGCGCGGGTCTATGTCTGCGCTTTTCCCGCCGGAGGGGAGCACGATACTGCCGGATTCGTATGGCATGGTTGGCGCGCTTGGACAGCCGGCTACGAACGACGATTACTTGATCCAGAGGCCGTTCGCGGGGGTGCCGAATCCAGCGGGGCATTTGATGTTTGGGGGTGGGCGGGGGGCTGCGGCGTTGCCGACTATTGGGGTCAGTGATGATAGTGTGCTGGATGAGGGCAGTGCGGCGTATCTGCGTTCAACCTTGCTCTCTGTGCTGGAACTCGGGGGTGAGACGGAGGGGTTGAAGGAGTTGCAGCCTGCGAGGCATTGGACGGGGATTATGGGGTATAGTCGCGATGATCGGCCGTGGGTGGGTGGTGTGCCGGGACTCAAGGGGGTCTGGCTTTGTGGCGGGTATACGGGGCATGGCATGCCGAATGGGACGCTGTGCGGGAAGGCGGTTGTGCAGATGGTGCTTGGGGAGGCGGAGGGGCTCGATGGGAAGGAGTTGCAGGAGAAGTTGGTGGAGCAGAGGGATCTTCCGAGGAGTTATCTGATCAGTGAGGAGAGGGTGAGGAAGGCGAGGGGGTTGCCGACGGTGGAGGTGCAGGATCGGACTGGGGTGTTGGATCTGTAGAGCTGAGATGGGGTTTGCGGGAGTGGATGGTGAGATTGGATATGTGGATATGAGATGGGGTGGTTGGGGGCAACTGGGCTCTAGAGCCGAATGGCGTTGGGGGGAATAGCTCGACCGCGTATCGTCTACCTACTTGCCTCCATCTCTCTCTGCGTCCTCCCAAACTTCCAGCCCCCCTACCCGAGTCTCCCGTGCGAGTACCCAGACCCTAACCCATCCTAACCCATCACCACCCATCAATACCCATCTCCCAGACCCTAACCCATTCAAACCCACCATAACCCCTTCCCTACGCATACCCACGTCCACGCCCTATATGCGTCTTCCCGGCCGTGGAGCCCAGCCGTGCTTGTTCCCACTCTATCCTTAACTTTAGCTCTAGCTCTAGCTTTTGAAATACAGTTTAGATTACAACGTGCTCAGTCTACATAGGGCGTTTAAAGGGCTACATAGTATATATGCAGAAACCATATGCAGCACACGCGACTAAACCCCATCTAGTAGACGTACATCGTGCTACCCCGTACCCCAGTCATCTCGCTGTGCTGACTAATAAACCTTCTCTGCGACCTCGCTGCACAAATGCAATGCAGGCCTCTCTAGCCACCAAACAGGGCACCAGAGCAAAGCAGGGCTGTATATAAAGCTTGCAGCCAGATGATCACTGCTTTAGATCTGGCGCATCCAAAACCCGGGTCCACAATCTGTTCCATGATCCATTCACTACGCCGAACGCAACAAGTGCTGTACAAGTACAAGTACAACAAGTACAG